CCCGGTATGAGGTTTCCTTGATTATTATTATTATAACATTGACTAGGCAATGCACTCTTGATCGGACGTGTAACGGGTCACGGTTATTTTCATAGTTTTACAGAAGACGTTCCACGGTAACTCCGTGGCTAGTGCACAATATTTCATGCACAGTTGCGTAATTAATATGACAAACATGGGGTTATAAAGGGGAATTGAACGGAGAATATAGCATGTATATAAACGGGCACAGCGCTTTCCTGTTATCGTGATATCGTGAGTGTTATATATATGGGCCAGATGGTCAATACTTGACTTGAAGGCGGCCCCCGGACAGGTTTACGGGGACCCGATTATATACATCAAAATATTCTTTCCCAATTCAAATAACATGTAAAACAAGAATAATATGCTTGTGTGCTTTATGGTGGACTTTGTTAGTTTTGTTGAGATGTAGACTAGTCATATTTCTGTTCATACATAGATCGTGATTAATAATTAATTATCTATAATTTGAGACATAAGGTATATACATGAGGGTTTTTTTTGGATTATTTTGATCGACGTACTACGTCTCAAGTTATAGGTATTTAAGTATTAATTCTATCTAGTTGTGTGATTTGGATACTTGGATGATTACCCGGTTGGCTAGCTGCGTGATCTTGACACTTGGATGGTTTTCTTAGATTCTTCTGATGATTTTATTCCAGTGTTAGATTGCATTTAGATTATTAGTAATTCATTTGCATGTTATTATTATTATTATCATTGTTTTTGCTTTGGTCGTTCGATCGTCCCTTTTTCTCTCTGTGGGATCTTGCCGTGTGTCATACACACTGACGTACACCTGTTTTTTTCTGGTGTACGTCAGATTTAGGAGATGAACAGCCTCAGTTCGGGATAGTACAGGAGCTAGAGGATTTGTAGCAGTAAGGTCTTCCAGATGGATCAGAAGAACAATTGGAAGCTTAGACTTTTCTTTCTGTAGTAGTTGATGAGCGCTAGATCTCTTTTGCAGAACCTTACTTTAGGCTGATGTTGGATTTAGTTGTTTTAGTAGTACTTTTCTTTTATTTCTGTTGGACTTTGTATTTTTTATATTTTTAGTTGGACCGTTTTGTAATAAGGGCGTGTTTGACCCAACTCTATGTCTTGGATGATATTCTATTTGTGATATGTATCTTTTCTATTCTGAGTTGTTCATTATACTCTTGCTATGTGTGATCGGGGACCTGTGGCTTCGTATATTGTATCTATTTCCAGACGCTTAGCGTATTGGATTGAGAAGAAAAGAGAAAAAGAAAAAAAATAATAGTGTATATTTCTTCTCAATCTAATACGTCGCGGGCTTGCTCGCGTCCCGATTCCTGGATATTTTGGGAAGCGGGGCGTGACAGACCTAGTCAACTTCAGTAAGTTCTAGGCATTCGACTTCGCTTGAATTCTAAGCTCTTGGTGTCTTTTTAGGAATAAACCCAAGGTATTAACCATATGGTCAACTCCCACAATCACCTCTCGACTATCATGGGGATGTCAAAGACGTAAGCACCAGTAAGACCTAGGCACCCAACCTCCGGGTTGTCCTTTTGCCAAAGACCTAGGCGTCTACGTAAATCCTGGACACCCAATTTTAGGATTGTCACTTTGCCGAAAAAACCTAGGTGTCCTTAATAAGCCCTAGGCACTCTAACTTGCAGGTCTTCTTCGACAAAAATACCCAGACATCTCGCCAACAAAAGGCACAAAATGAGTCAGTCGTCTCGACCGCTCAACACTCGGGTCTTTCTAACACGACTGACTCACAACAATCAGCACTTGTTCTCTCATTTCACTTGGACCCGGCTCAAGTCGACTCTAAGCGAAAGGGGCCAACTGTTATGGTGTTCTTATTCACTAAAAGTATAAACTCATTACCAAGCAACGGACAAGTGTGCTACATGTTATGCTCCAATCAACTTGGTGGCCAGAGACCAGTGGGGACAACCATTCCGCCGACTCGACGACTCGATGTTCCTTCATGTCGACTCGAAAGGCAGAACTTGTCGACCCCCCCTGTCGAAAGACGACTCGCCACGAGTCCATTCGACCATTTACCAGACGCCTTACACAGCCGACTCGAAAGGCGTTACTTCTCGGCTAAGTCAAAGGACAACCTTTTTCTTGAGCTTATCCTCTTTGACAACGTGTTAAGATCACATCAATGCTTGTCAGGCATCATCATGTCTCTGGTCCAGATAGTCTTCATGACTCATCGGACCACGTGGGCCTTGTCATGCCGTCAATCTCTTCCAATTTAATACTGAAGTGACCTTCCCTCCACTAGCTAGCCGACACCTGTAAAGCAAGTACCGACGTGGCTGCCAGCCCATCTTTCGCCACCGTCTTTCTGCTCTCAACCAGAGTGACCAATTTAGCCTTGTCACCTTAGTATAAATACAGGTACTATTCTACCTTACAAAAGGCTGGGATCTTGATTTCCAAATCTAATCCTTAAGCAATCACAAACACAAGAACTCTCACAGTTCTTCTCACTCCACTCAAGTTCAACAGCTGACTTAATCGTTGGAGGTACCGCGGGGGATCCAAGCACCGTCCTCTCACGAGTCTTTCCCTGTGCAGGTTGAGCAACTCCCCCAACTCAGAACTAGACATAAAGTTAGGAAAAAAAGCGGCCCCTTCATCAATCCTCAACAAAATTCATTCAGACACGAACATAATTGACTGTGTGATCTCTAACAGCTCAACAAGCAATATATTATAGCTGTCCACTTGAATATATTATGGCTGCAATAAAAAATATAGTATATATTATTGTTAACTTTCACGATGTTAGGGTGTGTTAGCTAAAACCCTAGCAAAAATAGATAAACCTCAAAATTTATAATCGATTATTAGCAAAGGAACAACGAATCTTTAAATTATCAAAGTTTGATTGCCAAATCAACCATGACAAATAACCATCAATGATCATATATTATTAAAAAAACTGGGTTATTGATTTATACCTCCAACTGCCAAAGCTCTGAATTAGGGCTAAAAACCGAAGCAACCAACATAATCAACAAAATCAAAGCTTGGGATCTCTGCTCGAAATCGAAGAACGAAGCTCAAAATCGAAGCGTCGGATAGAAGCTCAAAATCAAACTCGCAAAATCGAAGCTCGAAAGAAGAACGAATCGAGAAGAGGCGTGAACAGGATTGAGAAGAGGCGGGAGGAGATTAGTGGGAGAAGGTCGAAACCAATCTAAGGTTTGCGGTGCGGCGGAATCCGAAAAAGAAAGGAATCGAGAAGAGTAGGGGGCATTGTTAACTTTTTAACCCAAATCCACCCAAACCCATATCTGATTTGGGTTTCTATAAAAACCTCTCTCTTTATCAACTTTATAGATATCCATATCTATAAAAATTTTATGAACCAAACTTAGGAATAGGATACCATTAAAATTATTTATTTGTAGTTTTACTCCTGACAGATCCAATTCCTATTCCTAATCTATAAAAAGAGTGAAACAAACACCCAGTAAGTCCAGCATCCAAAGTACTCGATGCTTTCTAAGACACTGGTATTGAATAACAAAACTATTGTTAATAATAATTGAAGCAGATATGGTACAGAACAAAGAGTGAGTGTCTGTGTGTCACATACTTGGGTTCAAACTTCATATATCGATTGATAAATTCCCCTTAAATTTACAAGTTATCTTCAATATAATAACCGGAGAAGCATTTCATTTCCTCATGAGCTGAACAACACATTAGATGCAGAGGAATTCAGTTGAGGGCTCTGATGTCTGAACAAATAAGCATGCATAGGTCACTTCATATTAAAACTCCCACTGAAGGGTAAGATAAGCCATAAGAGAGCAAAATAAGACATAGCCGCAGCCCGCCCACCTCCACTCTCAGGAGTCTCAGCCCGTGAATTGTCCATATCGCCCACCAGAGAATGACATGTCACGTCTCGATCTAGCCCAAGAGCCCTAACCTTGGTATTTTCCTTTTCTGAGGTTTTCGTCGTTCTTTCTTTTTATACGTGAAACTAAAGGCATGTTCACGTTGGTAACCAAAATCTACTTATTTTTTCACTTTGATAATACAAAATAGTTTTTTTTTCCTCAAGCACTTCGATAACCCAAATTTACAATTCCATATCACTTCCGTGCCTTCGTTCATATTTTGTTAGGTTTTCTAATAAATTTGTATCGCATTTAGGTCTATTTTGCCTAGCAACGTACCTAGGGATTAAAACGACCAAACGTTCTCATTAGTAACGACGAGTGGCATCACATGCTAAGTACATAAATATAAAATTAAACAGAAGAAAAATCTTACAAAATCTGAACGGAGGTATCAAGTGGATGGGAATGAAAATTCCGGGATATCAAAATGTAAAAGAACATACTTTGGTGCACCGCAGCGAAAATGGAAAAATAAAGATGGGGAACAAAAAAAAAATGTAAAAGAAAAGAAAAGAAATGATAGGACATGTGGTAGCCTCCTCCACATGCAAAAGAGAGGAGGGAGAAAGGGATGGACTCTCTCAAAGGCAAAAGCCCACGCTTGTATAGTTGCTGCATCGTACGAACTACAGATCAGAGGGAGAAAGAGGGGGGTAGTGATGATGATGACAACATAAGGGAAGTCCTATGATAGAGATCTTTCAAAGGGGATGCACACACTCATGAAGGAGCGTGGCCAATGGTCTCCACCATCCCAAAAGTAGGAGCAAGCCACACACAAACGACATCAACAGCAACAGCAGCAGCAGCAGCAGCAAGCACTACGCCTCCCTCCCTAGTGCAACAAAGCCCCCCCTGCTTTCCAACCTAAAATAATGTGAAACTGGTCTCCCAATTCACCTCCAATCTTTCCCTGAAGACTAATACGTCTCTTTTCCCCCCAATCCGATCACCTCAATGCGCATCACTTCGACAGCAATGAGGATTGAACTGAACTGAACGAATGAGCGAAATAGAAGGCCATTATGATGACTTAAGCCACACGAGCTGATTCACGTCGTATTTCTCAAACAAAACCAGGCCGTCAAATTTTGATGCTTATCAAATTACAAACAGAAGAAGGAAAGAAGGAGATTTACAGGCTCGATTAGGATTTTTTCACATGGATGGAGGGGGAGGGGGGGCGAAAAAGGCGAAAAAGCCTATCACAGGCCAAAAATTGCCACTCAAATAGACAAGCCTCAAATCTTATTATTGAGGGAGAAATTCCCGCTTCACTCGATCCAATCCAACCGCGAGAACCCTATCGATTTTCAAACCGATTCTTTCTTTGATTTTCAGAGACCGATGTTTCTCCAATTGTGTGAAGGATCAAGGGAACAGGAAAAAAAATCATCCGGTGTTTATAATACACAACAGAGTAGAGCAGCACATCTTCTCTCCTTTCAACACAAAACCTCCTCTCTTGCTCCTTTGGTCCCAATCTCCTCATTTGGGGCGAAGAAAGATTTCACCACAGAATCACAAATCCCATCATTGGATTGTTCTCGTTAGCTTGCATTTTGACATAAATATCGTCGCGGTATAATTCAAACTACAAAGCTTCAACAACTCCGCCGATCTCTGCTTCAGTTCAGGGCTACACCCGCTCTGAATCACAAGCAACAGCTTCGGCGCCAGCCCAGCCTCAACAGCCACCGGCGCGCACTCATCTGGTGCTAATTTGCAAACTGCCCACAAAATCGACAGCGAAAACTGAGTACAGTTCTCAGATACTCTCATCAACAACCTCACCATGTTTGGTATCGTCTGAGGGCAATCCTTCAACGCTATCCTCCCTTCAGGGATCCCCGATATATCGTCCAGGATCCGCAAAGCTAATTCTAAGCATTCTGAATTCAAATGCACCAATTGCTCGACGATTTGAGACACTGCGCCAACACTAACTATTAGAGTTCTAACCTGTTCATGAGAACAAATCTTCTTCAAAAGATCCAATCCAGCCAGGACCCCATTTGGGTATCTCCTATCCTTCACCAACCTCAAGATTCCGACCAAAAGACTCATACTCGACACAATCTCAGACCGGAAATTCTTATCTCCCATCAGAACATCGATGAATTTAGTGCAATTGACCTTAGTTTCAATCGTACCTTCATTCAACATGTCGGTAACCAGCGAAATCTTCGCGGGCTGCATCAGGTTAGCCTTCGAATCCGAATCAATGTCAAGATTGACAAGAATGGCAACAGCCTCGGACCCGACGGCGTGCGAAGTGAACGGACCCAGAAGCGAAGAAATCACGGCAATGCCATTAGAGGTAGCCAGTGTTTTCTTCACAGAGGGATGGGCAATCACCAATTTGTTAAGATCTTTAAGGGTTTGTACTCTGAGCTGGCCTTTAACCCTCTTGAGCGAATCCAAGAGCTCGGAGGCTCGGCCGCTGGAGTCCTCGGCACGCTTTTTAAAGCGCGACCGGTAAGCGGTTGTGAGAACCAAGCAGTATCAAATGGCGCGAGGGTGGAGTTGGGGGTGACCGCATCGTCCCAGAGCTCCTGCATCGTAGTGGGGCAGGTGAGGTGACCGAGGGAGAACCACTTCAAAATGTTGGATCTTTCGTAGGTTTGGCCGGTGCAGAGGGTGACGGGATCCAGCATGGGCTCGAGCGAGATGGGGCATATGAACACCGTCGGGATGTCTTCCTCCGCCGAGTCCAGCTCCTCTATCATTTTCTTGAGGTCCACCTTGTTCGCAGGCGGCGACCGGACCGAACGGGAGCTCCGCCGCCCCCGCCGCCGCCGCCGAAGATCCCATCTTTGACCGCTGTTTCCACATCGATGACTTGGGTTGCCGTGTCCAGCTTCATTGTTCTGAGAAATGGGGTCAAAATTGGATCTTGATGCGAGGAGAGGGACGTATTTGGGAGTTGGGCCTTCAAAGACTCGCCTTCTGATCTGATCTTTGACCCATTGTTACTGTAGGCACTTTTGCCATTGCAGACATCACAGAGCTATAATCTGGACATCGAGCGCAAATCTGAGAGAGAGACGTTTGATATAATTTATTTAATTTTTAGAATATATCGAGAGTAACATTGAATAATGAAGAAAGGGGAGAAGACCCAGATGAGAGAGGCCTTTGAGCCTCGAGAAGTAAAAAATAAAATAAAATAAAATAAAATTTTTCGAAAAATGAAAAGAATGGTTGCTGATGGGGAAGGGGGTTGTGTGACGGCGCGTAGCCGGTGAAGGGGTGGGAATGGCGCACGTGCAGAATGCGGGTGCAGACTGAAAGTGGGTCGGGTTGAGCGCTAGCCGTAATCGATCCCGTTACGCCAATTTTTAGGCGCGCCGCTATGTTCCATGACGTACGCTTCACGAACCGCGAAACGTGACTCGCCCCGTTGACCGCCCGCATGCCCATAATTAGGGGCGGTAAACGATCGAATCGAATACTAAGGTATTCGTAAGTATTCGCATTTGTATTTGTTTAAAATTATCGAATTCGAATGCGGACTCTAATATTCATATATCTAGTTTTTCGAATTCAAATTCGAATACTTGGTATTTGATAAATATTCATGAATATTCACAAATACTTATTGAATATTAGAGTATATTTATTCTACTAAAGAAATTTGATTTTCAAATAATATTAAAATTCATAAATAAAATGTATTCCTTTTTAATATATGATGTATATATACTTAAATTAAAATTTTAATTAAAAATAGATTTAAGACTATTTAAGACTTAAAATCAGTATATAAAAGTTAAATAGAAATGGTAAGTGAATTAAAAATATGACATCATATGTGCAATAATACAAATAATAAGTTATGATTAAATTTTAAACGAATATTTAATAGACAAACGAATCGAATATACATCTGGTTAAATTCTATTCGTTAGTAAACTCGAATATTAAAAAATATTTGTTTAGTGGTAAATGAACTACCGAATCGAATATGATCGAATAGTTATTCAAACAATTATCGAACTATTTGTTAATTATTTGGTTCATTTCCACCCCTACCCATAATCCCTTACTTCTGGTGTAACTCCGTTCTTACTCTTCTAAACTTTGTGGAGTTCTCACATGATACTCCTGATTTTTTTTTTAAATCTCGCTTGATCTTCTCCTTCCGGAGTCTTTTACATACACTTTGGGCAATTAAAGTTAGGATCACTGTGGATTACGGGATTTGGATTATTGTATAATTAAATCGTGAAATTAAATAACTAGTATCAGTGGACATAATTGTTACTTAATAGTAACTAGCTTTTTTTTGGAAGTATACATTTTACCACTAGCTAGTTTGTATATATAAATAGCAAAATATAGCAAAAGTAAAGCATAACGAAGAGCAAAAATTCATAAGAATTCATAAGAACTTAACACTTTGAAGCATTATATATGGTAAAAAGGAGATTAAAATTTTTATATCAAACCCTTGCAATACAGTTCGAATTTATTTGAAAGTTATATTAAACAACCACTACCGATGAACATAATTATTATTTAATCAGAATTATAAGTATTTTGTATAGTTTATATATATAATAGGATAAAAGCACATGCCTCTAGCAAAGTTTACCCTGCATATGTCCTCACTGGGTAGAAGCTGGATAACACTCTGGAACAAACTGAGATAACTCAGTTTAACAAAGGCACAGAGGGAGAGACGTGATGAAACTCTATCGCAGGAAACAGACTGAGATCACTCAGTTTAACAAAGGCACAGAGAGAGTTTGAGAATATTTTATTGATTGGTGGAGCAACTCGTGTGCCAAAATTAGTGGTGGCATTTCAGCCAGTCGATACGGAAGTGAGCTAGACCGTCTCATGTCAAGGTAGATAGTCTTCTATAACTAGTAGACTAAAAAAAGGGGTGCTTGCTATGCATCTGCCCCGGAAAGATATGCCTACTATGACAGGAAGGGGCTTGCGCACAAAACGGCTTTCAAAAAAAAAATTTTGGGGTGGGCTCAAGGTGGGAATACAAACACCACAACCAAAAAAGGGTAGTCGCTTATGTATTTTCCTAAATTTGTTTTTTTTAATATAGACAAAAATATAATTTACCCAATAGTTTATTTTTCCAATAGCAAAAACTAGAAAGATGAATTTTTAAGCCCCTGCTTTCTTTGTTTTGTTTTTTTTATTGGTGATGGAGAGTGGGTGAATGACCCTGCAACGTGAGCCTAACTGATAGGAATAGGTGTAACTCAGACCAGTGCGGTTTGTAATCTATCCGTCATCACAACTTACAACACATGAAAAAGAAATGGGGTTTTAATTATGAAAAATTCTTCAAGGACCCAAAATATGGGACCAATAGGAGGGACAAGTGATGTGTCCCCCTCCTATTGGATAATGAGTTGGTAATCATTAATGATGACCAACTCGTTATCCAATAGGAAAATGACACCTCACTTGTCCCCTTATTGGTCCCATATTTTGGGCCTCTGTAACAAAGCTTTTTAATTATGTAATCTCGCTGAATATTACGAGGTTGTTTATTTGACCCTAACCTTTTCTTATTGGACCCTAGCAAATAACTAAAGAGTCCTTGCCAGAAAAAAGATCCCAAAATCTATTATTTTCGTTTACAGAAAATGTACCTGCCTCCCCAAGATTCAAGTGTTTTCTCGCAAGAAATTTTTATTTATTGCAAATTATATATAGTGGGTTCTAAGCTAGAAAAGTTCAAGGAGTGTTCCGCGACATTTCCTTAAAGATTACACTGAGTTAAAGTGAGGTAATTTTTAGAGAATTATGTGAACTAACCCCCCTCCCTCTCACTCTAATTTTTAGGGGAGTTTTTATGATGCTATTTTAAGGGTTAAATTCTTACAACCCCTTTTTTTAGGAGGTGTCACGCATATTCACATCAACATTGTTTATGTTATACAACCCTTCAAACTTTGGCGTGCCTCACAAAACTCTCTTAAACTTTCATATTTTCTCACTGAACCCTCTATCTATAATTTATAAATAATTAAAAAATGTTCTTAAGGAAAAAATCAAAAATTTTGTCAATTTGTCATTTGAGATAGGATACCTTTTTCCTCAAGCTTTGGATTTATGTCTCTAAAAAATTTTATTTATTTTCAAATCGCATATGGGGAGGTCCGGTGAGAGATATTCAAAGCTTAGGGAGGGTTATTTTAAGCCGTAGAGTTCGTTGGACTATATATGCAAAGAGTTCTAATTCTATCAAACCCAACAATGCACAAGAACCCAATCTCAGTCTTTTCACGGAGCATTTAATGGTCGATGTAAGCTTAATTAACAATAAAGAGCAATTTCGTCCATCCACCACCCAAAGTTACTGTTTGAGAGTGGATATAGTTGGACCCATAAAATAGTGGGAAATTAGAGAACTAACTGCCCTTCTTAATGGCCAGAAGACTCAAAACTCCCAACACCCATATGATAGATAACATATTCTTAATTACGTGAAATTAACAGGGTTGAGATATGTGAGAAGTCCCTCAAAGTTCAGGGGGTGTTTTGTGGAATTAACCCTTCAAAGAATTTAGCCGTTAAGCACGACACGAACTTCTGAAACCTTTCAAGGGAGCACACACCGGAATGGATTAGAAAAATACACTAAACAATATGTACGCAGTTTTTAAAGATGAAAAAAAAAATTGAGAACGACACTGTCTAAATGCACAGTGTCACAGGGAACCCGAGTGACCGCTTTATCGGAAAGCGCGCCACATCAGCAGTTTGACTGCTTTGAGGGGCGAGTCCGCTTTCCTCCTCCTCCTCCTCTTTGTTGCATGCTTATTAGGGAGTACTTTTAACCACTCATACCTCAACACGTGACTCCCTTGATTAAACTTAGGGGGATGGGTCCCACACGAGCCTGCACGTTCGAAGCCAGCGACGCCGGTCCGAACGCAGCCGAGCTGTCTTTATACGAGGACCGGATCTCGGACCGATTTGGGTCTCAATAAAACTAGCTACGATACGTACGGCAGCAGCTTTACTGTATTGAGCTCTTACTGATTTACGTCTTATCATTCTAGATTGTGGGCATCAGAAAGTTGAATCTCTCCTTCGTACGTACGTTAGATGGTTAATGCGTTCTTTACACAATGACATACTTATAGTAACAACAAACTGTCGCATGCACGTCGACTTTTTTAGTTTTCTAGTAGGGAAAATTGATGCTCTTGTTCTTAGTTTTTTAATTTGCTTCTTTTATCGGAGAATTTTTAGGATACTCGAGCAAGCACGAAACAATAAAGGGTAGTGTGAATCCTCCTTTCTTTGTCCATACTAAAGTACAACTACTATCTGGTCCTTTAGTAGCTATGCTAGTGCAACTGTGGTGGTAACTGAATCTCAAATTTTCTCTTTCTGAGGCTTTTCGTACCTATCCATACCTACATTACACTTTCCCCAAGGTAGACTTCACTAAATCCTCAACAACTTTGGGCCTTCTATACTTGACTGTCAAAAAAATGGAAAATGATAGGGACACACCCAAACCACATTCCAAACCATACTCTCTCTCTCTCATATGCTACAGTACACTGGGCCCCACATGAGATTTTAAAATTTTAAAATCCCATGTGGGGCCTGGTGTACTGTAGCATATGAGAGAGGGGGTGTGGTTTGGGATGTGGTTGGGGGTGTGTCCCTAGTGCCACCCCAAAAAAATATGAAGCCCTCGCTACATCCTCGACGATTGTTGAACTCCCATAAACGCCCCCAAACTATTTTTTTTTATCCCGCTTAATCGCTAATAGCTATCCACTTTATGATGTTTATGTGGTATTCTCTGCTTGGAAAACTCAAAATATGGACGTACGTCATTATTGGGGTTAATTGGAAAAAAATATTTCCAAGTTTTCTGGAATCGTTAAAACTTTTTGGGTGCCAAAGGTCCAATTTTATTGGATGTTTAGTAAAATTTATTCTTTTTTTAAAGTATTCTAATTTTACAAATCCAATTTGACGTATAAAAATTTCAGAATGGTTTATTTTACTGCAAGCCCTAATGGTATGCTCGCTCTTTTTTAAAAAAAATTGGTATATTGTTGGCACTGAGGTTGTTCATTTAGTTTTGGAATTCTTGAATAATGGCTAGTTCGATGAGGAATTTGTTAGGGAATTTAAGTTACTCG